TCTGTTGTTGCTATCAGGGTCATTGCGGTCAATCTTGATAACCGCAAGAAGAAGCCCCTGCAGTTTTCTTAGCATCCTTCTCTGTGAAAAGTGGCTTTGCCGGAACTTTTCCTCAGGCCCCGAGTGACGGACTTTTGTTTAAGGACTAGAATTCACCATCTCCTAATTTCTACCATATTTCCAGAGCAAGCTGGCTCTCTTTTTGTTCTTAATGGGTTTTAAAACTCTGTGTACTGTTTATACAGGTAGTCCTTGACTTATAACCACAAAGAGCCTTGGTGGCGCAGCACACTAAAGTGCTGTTAAGTAGCACTAGCTGCCTGCAATTGCTGCAAGTTCAAATCTCACCAGGCTCAAGGTTGACTCAGCCTTCCATCCTTCCGAGGTAGGTAAAATGAGGACCCGGTTTGTGGGGGCAATAAGCTGACTTTGTATTAAAAAAACAAAAAGAACACCGCTTAGGGGGGGCCCTACTAAGCAGGTATCTACAAAAGTATGAAGGCTATTGCTTAACGCATTGTAAGCTGCCCTGAGTCTCCGGAAAAGGGCGGCATATAAATCGAACCAATAAATAAATAAATAAACAAATTGAATTAATAAATTTCTGTTGCTAAGCAAGACATTTGTTAAGTGAGTTTTGCTTCATTTTACGACCTTTCTTGCCACAGTTGTTAAGTGAATCACTGCAGGTGCTAGATTAGTAACGCGGTTGTTCAGCGTATCTGGCTTCCCCATTGACTTTGCTTGTCCGAATGTGCATGACCTCTGGACGCTGTAACCGTCATAAATATGAGTCATTTGCCAAGCGGCTGGATTTTGACCACATGATCATGGAGATGCTGGAAAGGTTGTAAGTGTGAAAACGGTCAAAGGTTCCTTTTTTCAATGCCGTTGTACCTTTGAACTGTCACTAAATGAATGGTTGTAAGTTGAGGGCTGCCTGTAATGCCCTATTTCTGGGCTGCATTTGTCCCAAAGCTTCCAGCTCACGGTAAAGGAGTGACAAGAGTCCTGCGTTATCTTTCCTTCTCCCCACCCGTCACATCAGGGTTGCAAAGAGGCAGGCAAGGGAGTCTGCGGAGGTGGGAGAAGCTGGAAGCCAGAGGCCTCGCTCAACGGCTCCCGAGCTGGCATCATGAATTCATCTACAGTGGGGGTCCCCAGCCCTGGGGCCATGGACTGGGCCCTACCGGCCTGTTAGGAACCAGGCCACGCAAGTGGCGGGAGAGCAAGCGAAGCTTCATCTGCACATGTGCGGGATCTAGGTTGCATGCAAAACCATCCCCCCCCCACCTGCTCCATGGAAAAATTGTCTTCCATGAAACCCATCCCTGGTGCCAGAAAGGCTGGGGACCACTTTTGTATTTACTATGGGATGCAACACTACAAGCCAGTTTTTCTCCTGATTTAGAAAAACTTAATAAAAAGTCCTTTGATACAGGTGTGCATTTGCCAACTTGGCAGTTTATGAGGCTTTTCTGCATTCCACAGAGGTAGACAGAAGTTCTAGAACCAAAATGAAATACTCTTGTGAGGAAGCGGCATTCACCACTTGGGATTATAAAGACAGGATGCAAATTGAAAAAATAGATTGACTACTGAATATTTGTTGGGGAGACATCTGAAAGTCAGCAGATTGCTCCCCTCCCTCCTTCCTTTTACAAGTAACGGGAATCCAAGTTGCCCTGGGATACAAACCAGGATAGTACAAGGCTCCTCATCCTCACACCCCATTGTTGAAGCGGCGTGAATTGGGCAAGATGCCATGAAGGAGGAAGCAGCTCACTGACCCTTCCCTGGGCCATCATGCTTCTCCATGGGACTCCCGTTTCTCATGCTGGAGCGCTTCTGAGCATGAGACCTGGGAGAGGGGGGGGGCTCTGCAGCCACACCAGCACAGATGCTCATCTTCAAAGGTGGTGCATTGAACATGTGGCCTCTCTGGCTGCTCAAGGGCGGTAGAAGCCAGGAAGCGAATTCCAATCCTCGGTGTTCTTTCTCTGCCTGCCCTCTTGATTCTTTTCTTATAATTGATTTAAATGACTGTCTCACAGCCATGCTCATCCCTACACATCCTGATAGACTCCCCCAATACTCTAATTGCTTTCCCAATTGTCAAACATCGAATTATAACAATCATTTCTTTTAATAAAGTTTCAGGTAACATGGTCTCTTTAACTCCAAGAGAAACCAATAATGGACCAGAAAGTCTGAAGTTTATAAATTACTGTGCAGACACAAATCCAAGCAAAATAACAGACATTTGGTTGCGGCTACAATCCGGTACATGTATGACAATAATCCTAATGAACACAGCAAGATTTGCTTTCTTAGAATGAAGTTGATGAATGCATCCAGAGATTCTCCAGCAGAGGCAACCTGGAGTGCATTCAGTTATTATCAATTAAGCAGAATGGGAATTATAACTTCTATTGATGTTAACTTATTCTGAACGCCTTGGTAGTACAGTGGTCTAAGGCACCCTGTTATTAAGCTGGTTATTAAGACCAGCTGCCTGCAATTACTGCAGGTTCGAATCTCGCCAAGGTTCAAGGTTGACTCAGCCTTCCATCCTTTCTAAGGTAGGTAAATTGAGGACCCAGTTGTGGGGGCAATAAGCTGACTTTGTATAAATATACAAAAGGATGAAGGCTATTGCTGAGCACATTGTAAGCCGCCCTGAGTCTCCGGAGAAGGGCGGCATATAAATCAAATTAAAAAAAAAAAAGTCTGTTCCAGCCATCTATCCTGGAACAGGATAGTCCAGGAGCCTTCAATGCCTTTCCTTAGTTGGGGATGGCTTACGGCTCCTGCGTTTTACTTGCCAGCCTACATTTATTACAGCCTATCTCTTGATTTTGAAAATTATATGCTCACATGAAACCCACACCATGATTAAAACCAATGAGAAAAGAGGATGCACATGTAACAAAACTTTAATATAATCAGCATCTTTAAGCTCCCTTCTTCAGACCCTAAAAGGTATAAGCAGCATTTTATTACAGACTTCAAAGTTAAAGAAATTTAAAAACAACCAGAATGATAGAAAAGAAGATGTGAATCTATGTACACATATTAACATATCCATAGTTGTGGGACAAAGGCATGGCTACCAATAAACTGGATGATTTTAAATCAGCTCTTATGTTATTAGGACCACTATGGCTCATCTATTAGTTGGTTATTTAAGAGACATGAACACATTTAAGCAACTTAAAAATATATTTCTGGGAATCCATTGGAAGATACTTGCAAAAAAGTAGTGTTAATATTAATGATTTTTAATAACTGATAGGTATCTTTTACATCAATAACATCAAGCAATGTTTTCTTCCAAATTATCATTACACCACATAAAACTGCATAAAATTACCCTGTCACCAAAAAGGTTGGTATTGCTTGCTTGCAAACATTATCCCACTCATACTGAATCACTACATTTATGGAATTTACACGTAATTACAGCTCTTGGAACTCCAAAGTTAAAAGGCTAAATTATAGAGCAGATAAAAATCTCATCCTAAATGCATAGAAAACAGAGGTACGCTGCATTATCCCATTTGTATTAAAGCTTTGTTTGGCCAAAGCACATACACAATTATTGCCAGGGGCTCAATTCAGGCCTTATGGTTCTTCTGCCCCATTGGAAGGGGTTGAACCCAAATTTCTAACGGCTTTATTCCAAACAGCCCCATGTGTGTTAATATAGTATTAAAAACCAGGAGTGTGATTTTCATAAAAAACATATGCCTTTTAATAAAATGTATACATTTAAAGTGGTTGTCAGATTCCTTCTGACTTTTCTTTTGCCCAAATAGGCTTAATAGGTCTCTTCCTCTACAATGTCTTTAATGTAATAGAGAGGGGAAGGTTGACCAAAGCTGAAAAACTACATGGATTTACATTATTGCCTATTGGTAGACGTAACCATTCTTTTCAGACAGCCGGGGTCCCTCCTCTTTGTAAACAATTATGGGTCCATATGGGCTCTGCAAGAATAACAATCCTGTGGTTTTTCTAGGGAAGGCCTTTTTAATGATGAGCTACGATCAAGCAAGTAGTATGTCCATGATCTGAAAGACCAGGGGATCAATGTGCAATAGCCAGGCCCTTTCTTTAGGCCAGAATTCTTTAGGGAATTCTAACTTCTTACTGATGTTAACTTATTCTGAACTCCTTGGGATTATATCTGTTCCAACTAGATAGCAATGGTGCCGGGGAGATGCTTAAAATGGCATCCAACCTTCATCCAAGAAGACCGTCTTCCAATGGAATTCAATACCGAAACCGCAGAGAAAACCCCAAAGCATCCCCTCTCGATGAAATGGATGTGGCTTTAATTTCTACCAGTTACAATGCTATAAAAGTCACTCTAGGCAGCAGCAAATTGTGGTTCAACATTTAGAAGGTATTGCTCAATTTAAGCCTTTGACTCTACCCCTGGAAATGCTTTCAAATGAAAATGACATGTGTTTGCAAGGTGGTTGAAACTGGAATTTACTTCCAAATCATTCAGAAGAGGCAAGGGGAAGTACAGCACCAGCAAATTAATGGCTTATGTCATTCCTGTATATTAATTAATACCACACACACACAAACACATACACATATATGCACCGAGAGAGTGTTTGTTATAGGAGGACTCACATTTTTACCATTCTATGGAAGGCTGCTGCAGATTAAAGCAACCTTCCTATGGAAGAACATCCCCTTGACATAACAAGACCTTTAAAAAAACTATTGAAAGGGAAAACAGCAGAATTTTTTATTTAAAAACAAAAGACAAATCGTTGGATAGTTGGCTGACAAAAAAACATATATCCCCTGAATTAAAATTGCCTTTAAATAGCACATTTCCTTCCCCTGAACCAAGAGCATCATCCTCCAAAATCACAGTTGTCTGGAAATAACACAATTATTTGGAATTCTCTTATTCAATAGTAATAACAACCACCACAAAAAATGCAAAGGCATTGGCCCTTCAGCAAGGGTGACCTTACCTGGAATCTGGGTATTTGGTCAAAGTTGCTAGGCTGCTGGTATACATGTGACCTCCTACATCAATATGCACCGGGGCGTTAGATTTGGTGAGCTGGGCAGGGAGAGGAATTCCTTGAGCAGCAATGGGAGAAACTGGGGACCGTGTCAGAGAGAGCCGGGACATCGCTCTGCCTTCCTCCTAGAAACCTCAGACAGAAAAGAACAATTTCCTCTTAAATGCTGTTGTGCGCTACCTTGATTCCAGCGTGATCACAGATCTAATAAGATCTCTTTTGCATCTGCCTGATCACATATTCAGCTAACAAATTATTGCCACCTCCATAATTAAGTGTATTTGCATCATAGTCTTCGAAGGACCAGCGGCAAAGAAAAAGATGCTTATTAGCAATAAGAAATCAAGGGGAAAAAAATCTTTTTCAAGGTGTCAGCCTCAAGGGGCATAAAACAAACTGCAAAATTCTAATTAAAGGTCGCAGGCTTATGTGTTAGATGTGAAATATCCCCTGACAAACGAATAACCAATTTGTGAATTGGGATTCAGGGGTTTTTGCAAGTTTGTCTCAGTAACAAGACACCTCTAAATTAGTGACTTCCTCAGTACCTAAGGCGTTTCATTTAGACATGTAGTAAAATTCACATCAAACTTGGAACTATTTTTGTTGCTTTTTAAATAACTAACCACACAAGAAAACAGATAGCTATTTGTTATCTTCAGGACAATGTACCCAGAAGAGAGAATGGAAGGACAGGCAAAACTAAAGGTTTAATCAATTATCACTGCCCTGCAATGTCTTTTCTGTACATAATTTCCAATTATCCAGTGGCCTCACTTTGAAACACACACATACCTCAATCCTCTTATATTTAATACCTAAAGCTGCTGTTTCCATACACCCCACATTTGAAACTTACAGATGCAGTACGTCTTTAAATGAAATACGTGTATTACCATTTTACTCAAATGCTATGGAATTCTGATCTATGCAGAAATATAAGGACTTTGTCAATATTCACTTTTTAATATTTGACATAGGGAAGTCTACCCGTTATTTTCATTGGCATCAATGTAGGGCATATATATAGGTAGCCAGCAGAAAATCTTGCAAAAAACAGAGCAGACCCAGCACTTCTAACCTCTCCTTCATGTATTAAAGCAAAATATGCCAAAGATTAAACAATTATGAAATGTTTAATTATATGCAATGTTTTGAGTATAATTTAATGTTGTCATATTGCAGAAGTCTATTCAGCCAAGAGTTGGCAAGTATATCTCCTCTGTGGCATTTCACAGAACATTTTGCTTGTTTAGAGATTAAACTCTTTTCTCAGAATCTTTATCTTTCCTTCGAAATAGCATCCCAGGGGTTCACTTGGGCAACACCATTCCCACCATACAACAGGCAACAACTGGAAGCACTTTTCCTAAGATGGAAAATACCATTTTTGGACTTCAGGGACAAATGTAGCAACATGGTGGGCAAAGAGTCCTTTCTGGGGAGTCTGTCTTTGGCATCACCTCGGATCTCCATCATTTGCTCTCTTAGTACGAAGGCTCGACCTGTGCAGAACCCAAACTGATCAAAACTAGCCTCAGCTAGTTGACAGGAAACTCTTGATAACACAGTACTGATCTCAAGCAAAGTACTGACTTCAAGAAGGATTGAGTTTTCTAAGGGAGTGGATATTCCTTTTCTTCGGGGAATATTTCATGTGGCAACTCAAGCCACTTGGATTTTTATAAATGTATGCGCTGTATCTGTCACACCTACCCAAATCTCACTGTCTCCTGGCATTGTATTCTATTTGCCAATGTACCTCCTCTTAAGGACTGATACCTAGTCTTTTCCTAACAGCCACATCCTTGTGTTCATGAGGGTTAAATCCAAAACTCCACAGACCCAACCTCATGTAGAATGGCTCAAGTCCAAAGCCCAAGGAAAGGTATTTCTTGCTTAAAAAGTCCAGTCAGTTGAAGCTCACCATTTCCTTAATGAAAAGAAACCTTTCCCATTCCTTGCATTTTTGGAATGAAATTTTAGAGCAAGGAGCCACTTGAAAAAAGAGCTTTATCTTGAAATATATATGCCTGCTGCCCCATCACCCTACCCAGCTCAAGAGCGAATGTTCAACTCGCTGCTATAATTCTCTTTGATGTTAACAGTGCAGGAGAAGCCTATCTAACATCTATATGGAAGACAGATCTTAGCTATGCCAAAGAGGCTTCCTTGGAAACAAATTCTCAGATTATAACATTTGTTACGTGCTAAACAACATTAGGTTCACAAACCTTACAGAAGGTTTACTTTACTGTCCAGTAGGGCTTGCTTTGCAGCAATTTTGCACTGAGCTGCAATATTATTTTCACTTTCAATAAGTAGCCAGAAAAATATATTTATTCCCTAGTAGGATTTCCTGAAATCAATCTTGTGAATTCTTTGTCTCTCACAGCAGGAGAAAAGAAAAGGCAAGAAAAGAAGAGTCAAACTTAACAAATGTGATTCTAAAACTAAGACCCACATTTAAAAAGATGGATGCAAAGATACTCATCACTGTTGTCACAGAAGATGGACATCATGCTTTGAATTACAGACATGCAATTTATTATATCATGTCCTTAAAATAGCATATTACTCAAGCATTACCTATTATTATGCATTCAAATAATTCTTAAAATAATAACTCAAGAAATCCAGGTAGGAAAACATTTAAGAATAGTAAGGGGTACACACACCAAGTTTCAAACAATCTGTGTGGACAACCTGCCCCTGGAGAAAAAAAATCGTGTCAACCTGCTGAAGGTATATTGCTTCTCCCCACCCCAACCAGGCCAAAAAATAATATGCAACTCTGGACGGCACCTTTCCATTAAGGTGGGAAGATTCCCAAGTGGCTCGTGCCCCAAACCAGTGGAACTGACGTGTGCATCTGGCATGGCTCACTGGGATCTTTCACTGCCTCCCTCCCTCCCTCCCTGCTTTCCTATGCTAACTGCCAAAGCACTGCTTGTAAAATCTATTTGCCCATGAAAAGTGAAATAAGCGCCATCCCATGCTCATTTACACACAAAATGATTTTGTGTCCCATTGAGCTCACAGTTGTTCAGCTCTCTAGGGGTGATTAAACTAGCTAGGCTGCTACAGCTTGAGATGAGTTTACCAGAATTGTTTCTCCACATAGCTGCTTCTCTGGGACACTTTCATTTTTATCCATAAAAGGTAACAGAAGGCAGTTGTGCAAGCTCCATTCTCCTCTGTGCCCATGGCAATCACCCTGGGGGGAAAAAGTGGGGAGGAAAGGCTGCAGAAGTTTCCAGGGTATTGTCTGCCTGACTCTCTGCCTGCCCCCCCCCCACAACCTCCCTCAAGCCCGCTATTCTTCAACAGAAGTTTCAGACCGAATTCCTACTTTTAGAAAGACTTCAAAAATGCAAAAAGGAAGTTGGGTTGGATGAAATTTTCTCCCATTTGCTCACAGCTGGGGGGAAGAGAGGAGCCGCTGGGGGGTGGGATGGGAGCTGGTGGAGGGCAGCACTGAGAGCCCCCGCAGAGAAGGAGCCGCCGAGGGGGCAGAGAACTGCAAGCGCCACACAGGAGCCGAGCCAAAGGGGGCTCAGAGTTTCCACGGAGGCTGCAGATGGGAAGCCAGGCTAATTAAGGATATAAAAACGCTTCTGCTTCCCAAGTTGATGGTTGCCTGGATTAACGACAACAATTGAAACCAGCGCTCGGATTCACTCCCGCGATTGATTCCTTCGTGCCCATTTAAGACGCCGCGTGAATTCTGCGCCAACACGCAACCCCCCCCCCCCTTGCCAGCCTCCCCTGCAGCGCAGCCCCCTCCCCTCACGGCGCCCCCGCCGACCCTCCGGCCTAGCCCGGCCCTCCGGGGCACCGCGGCCGCCGGGATCCCCTTCATCCGTCGCCGCCGGGATGCCTCCATGTCCGGCGGGGCCGACCCCGGGCAGCGGGAGAGGGCCGAGAAGGGGTCCCGGCCAGGTGGGCTTTTGTCTCGGCCGGCGCGGCTCCCTCCACGGAGCTCTCGCTTCCCCTCAGAAACTTTCTCGGCGCGCCGAACTTCCCGCCATCCTTCCCGGCTCGGCCCCGTCAGGAAGGCAACCGAGCGCCGGCCGGCCAGCGCGGCGTGCGAGCGATCCCCGCCGCGCTGACCCGCCGGGAGTCCGCGCGGCGCCCCGAAGTTCGCCGAGAAGCGCCGAGCGGCCAGGCCGGGCGACCCGCCTGCCCCCCGGAGGAAAAGCCCAACATGGCGCCCGGACGAGCTGCCGGCACAAACGGAGCGGGGAGGCAGAGCAGCCGCCGATCGCCCGCCGACCCCGCGGCCTCTCGCTCCCGTTGTCATCCCTGCCGGCCCTCAGCGCGGCCCTCGCCAGCCTTCCGCCCGGCCCGCCCCCGCGCCCCGGACCCTACCATGCGAGGCTGCAGAGCCGGCCGGCCGCCCGCCCGCCCTGGCGGCTCCGGGGACTAGTGGGCCGGCGTGAGCCACGTTCCCCCGGGCGGCGGTGGGGCGAAGGCCGAGCCGGGCATCGCGCTCTTCAGGCGGCGGCGGCTTTTGCCCCTTCCGAGGAACCGGCTCCGGGGGAAGCGGCGGCGGCGGCGCGCGCGGGCCTCCCTCCCAAGCGGAGCCGTGGCGCGGCCGAGGCGACAGGCGGAGGTGGCGGCGCTGGCGGCCCCCGTCCGTCCGTCCGTCCTCCCCCACCCCTGCAGGCCGGGAAGCGGGGCTTCCCCGGGGGCCCCGATCCCGCCGGGCGCGCAAGCCGCACGTCCCCCGTGGCGCCGGCCAGGATCGGCGCGCGCGCAGACAGGCAGGAAGAGCCGCGGCCGGCTGGGCTGTCTCGCCTTACCTTGTGCGCCGCAGAACGGGCGAGCCGGCGATGCGCGCCCCGCCTCCCCGCCCTGGCTGCGGGCTGTCCGCGGCGCTGCTCCGCTCGGTCGGCGGCCCGGAGAGGCAGGAGCCGGGCGCTGGCCTGCCTTTTGTCCCCCGCCGCCGCCGCCGCCCGCTGGCTGCGAGCGCTCTGCCAGGCGGCTCCCCCCGCCCCGCGCCTCCTTTCTGTTTGTTTTGTCTCTGGGTCTGCGGAGGGAGGGAGGGAGGAGGAGGAGGAGGGGAGCGGAGCGGAGCGGCAGGCGAGGCGGCCGCCTCTCCGCTCGCCAAGCGCCGCGGGGAGGGAGAGCGCCAGGCGGGCAGCAGCCGCGGCGGAGGCCGACTCTCGCCCCGGGCTCTGCCCCCTCCGAGCGCTCAGCGCCGCCGGCGACCCGGCCGAGGGAACCGGAGCATCCCCTGCCTGCGGCTATTGGGGGCGGCCGGGGCCCCCTGGGGCAGCGCTCTTCCCGCGGCACTCACTTTCCGCGCCCGCTAACGGTCCGAGCGTCCCCGCTGCTCGACGGCGTCAGGCCACGGCGGCCGCGTCCCTCCGGCGACGGGCGGGCGGGCTGATTCGAGCCATCGCCGCGCCGGTTCCTCGCGCAGCTGCAGCCGGCCTCGGCGTCGGGCTCCCGGGCGAGGAAGGCGGGCACGGGCGACTCCTCTGCCGGCGACGGGCGGAGGGCGGCGCGCGAGGGGCACTTGTTGATAAGGCGGATCAAGTTTGGCGCTTCCACGCGCGCCCGGCCTGCCTCCCCGACCCGCGCGGGCCCCGCCGAGGCTCCTCCGCTGACGTGCGTGGCCGTTGGAGGAAAGCGCCGGCCGCCGCGGGCCACAGGCGCCGTTTCCAAGGCGGGCTCGGCGAAGGCAGCTGCCGGGGGCCCGGCCCGCCTCGGCTTGCCCGGCCTCTCCCCGCGCCCCCGGCTCTGCCGCGGCGTGGCTGGCGAGCGCCGCCTCGGGGGTCTTCCAGCCGGCTCTCCCAGGCTGGGGCGCCAGCTTGCGAGTCCCTGGGGCCGTCGGCCCTGCCTCGCCCCGAGCGGCGGCTGAGGCTGCGGCTGCGGCGCCCCGTCGGGCCGCATCTCCCTCCCGTCTCCTGCCCCGCCAGCTGCTCCTCGACCGGCCCCCGTTCCCAGCCTTCCTTCTCCGGGCCCCGAGCGGCTCAGAAGGAGGCCGCCTTTCGCTACTGGAAACACTGAATCGTTCGGGGGCCTGTGAAGACCCAGTCCGGGTTTCCCCTTGGAGGAGCTTTGGTCGTATCCTATACTCTCCCTTTCCGCTTCAGCATGTTAAGATGCGCCCTGAAAATAAACATTGCACCGTAATGAAGGCTTCCTTTAAGGCCACTCTCTATGGAGACTGTCCGTCATCCAGGTCATGGTTGTCCCAAAGGGGCTTTTTCAAGAGGCAACTGGACTTTCTGGTTTTTCTTTAAAGATGCTCAGAGCTGAAGAAGCTTCTTGGATGAGAAGTGAAACGTCTTCAAAGGAAAACCAGAAAGTCCAGTTGCCTCTTGAAAAAGCACCTTTATTGCCACTATTGTAATGCGTGTTGATTATAAAATTGAGAAGGATAAAAAGCAAAGCACCGATGTTTCTCCTGGTTAGGATGTGGTGGCAGAAGTACCAAAACATGCTTAGCTAAGCAGAACTTTCCCTGTTCTGCTATTTCAATCACAAAGGCTGGCCTGGTATCCTTATGGTTATTGCTACTTATATATGTGATCTATACATTCTTGTTTTTAACATGGGTACTTTTAAGTCAAATCAATCAGAATAGAGCTGGAAGGGACCTTGGAGGTCTTCTAGTCCAACCCCCTGCTGAAGCAGGAAACCTTATGCAATTTCAGACAAGTGGCTGTCCAGTCTCTTAAAAACCTCCAATGATGGAGCACCCACAACTTCTGAAGGGTTATCTGTATATCCTTGGTTTAAAAGCTAGGTAGAAAATTGTCAGCATTAAGATAAAATCCTGATAAAGAGGTTTGTTCTCAAGGGAACACAAGCATTATTAAATTGCACCTTAACAATCCTTTTAACCACAGAATTTGGGCGCACATTTGGGGCAGCGTGAAGGTAAGTTTGCAGCTGTACTGCCTACTATGGGCAGAGAGGAGAAACAGCAAAAAAGTTATGTCATTCTTTGCTCGCCATTGATGCAAAAGGTCAATTCACCCATAGGGTTAAGAAAAACTCTCCTAACATTCACTACAAAGAAAGAAAGGCTTTTTTTCAGTTGGACTCCCTGAAGTTTTTCTGATGGTTGTTCGAACCTGGGGAATGCCCCACAAACAGACAAAGCCTCCAACCACTTTCTTAAGAAGTAAAGCAGAAACTTTCCCCCCCCCCCCAAGGGGAGTTTATTTATTTATTTCCCAAACACAAGCTGCAGGAGAAGAGGGAAATTTTCTCATTAAAGTTACATCCCTGCAGTTACTTCAATTACTTGATATATGCAGAAGATGTTGTAAATTTAAAGATTTAAATAGCTTACAAAGATGCCAGAGGCTCCATCAGTTAATTTCCTTAATTTATGGATTTTTTTTTTAGCTCAGCTTCTGAAGTGGGAGGGAAAAGAAGAAGAAGAGAAGACAAAGAGAAGTAGGTCATTGGATAGAGATCTATCCGGGTTAGGATTCCCTGCTTGTTTTTTACTGCATCCATCAGAACAACTTGAGATTTTGGGGCGTTCTTTGCCATCCCAGACTGCAAGCAAGGGGAGCTTCCGGATACAGTTCTGGGGGAAATTTGGATCTGCAGAGGATCCTATTTGTAAACAATTTATTTGCCAGGGGAAAATAACTCCTTTAGCAGTGGGTAGTCAAGGAGGTCAATCAATCAGAATAGAGCTGGAAGGTACCTTAGAGGTCTAGTCCAGGGGTTTCCAACCTTGGCAACTTTTAGCCTGGAGGACTTCAAATCCCAGAATTCCCCAGCCAGCACTGGGGAATTAAAGTTGCCAAGGTTGGAGACCCCTGTTCTAGTCCAACCTCCTGCTCAAGTAGGAGACCCTATACCCATGATGGCAAGCCTATGGCACGTGTGCCACAGGTGGCATGCGGAGCCATATCTTCGGACACGTGAGGTGTTGCCCTATCTCAGTTCCACTGTGCATGCGCACACCGGCCAGCTGATTTTTGGCTGGCTCCACCCCACACCTCACCTCCCAGGAGTCTCCAAGTGGCCTGTTTTGGATGCCAGGTAAGTACAGGGCTCGCACGGAGGCTCTGGGAGGGTGTTTCCGGCCTCCAAAGGGCCTCCAGGGGGTGGGGGTGAAGAAGGCTGTTTTCGCCCTCCCCAGCCTCAGGAAAGCTTCTGGAGGGCGAAAAAAACAGGTCTTCTGGGCTTACCGGAAGTCGGGAAATGGTCCATTTCTGGCCTCCAGAGGGTCTCTGGGGGAGTGGGGGAGGCTGTTTTCGCCCTCCAGAGGCTTCAGATAGGCCTACTGGGCCCAAAATGTGGCGTGGGGTGGGGGTTATGAGCACATGTGCAGGGGGGCCACACATGCAGGGGGAGTGAATTATGGGTGTGGGCACACACACTGGCGACTCCCCCGTGCTCCCTCCCGCTTTTGGCACGCGATGGCAAAAAGGTTAGCCATCACTGTTCTATACCATTTCAGACAAGTGATATTCAGTCTCTTCTTAAAAATCTCCACTTCTGGAGGCCAGCTGTTCCACTGGTTAATTGTCCTCACTGTCAGGAAGTTTCTCCTTAATTGAAGGTTGCTTCTCTCCTTGATTAGTTTCCATTCATTGTTTCTTGTCCTCCCTTCAGGTGCTTTGGAGAATAGATTGACTCCCTCTTTTTACTCCCTAGTTTTACAAAAAATGTTTTGAGAAAGAGGAATGAGGAGCTCTCCCCCTC